AGAAAGAGAAATTAGGAAACAGTGAAAGGAGATGTAGGTAGAATTTCAAGATTAGGGCTGGGGAGATAGCTCAGTAGAATAAGCACTTGCCTGACAAGCTCAAGGTCTTGAGTTCAATTCCCAGTAATGCAAAAAAAACCCCACAGAAAACAAAAGCACAACAAAATTAACCAAATGATATTTGGGGCCAGGGAGAGAGCTCAATAGAATAAGTGCTTGCTTGGAAAAATCCCCAGTTCCACAAAAAAAAAAAAAAAGAATTTCAAGATTAGAAAATTTGGAGGCAAAGGTAGGAAAAAAATTGAAACAGAGCTTTTGCTGATAGGAAGGGGACCAAGGTTGAGAGGGAACAGGGATGGATGAGAGGGTTACGGTACAAAAGACAGAATTCAGAGGTATTGTGCCTGGGCACCCAACTCCCCACCATAAATGCAATCATCTTGCACTGTAGACATACACTAATAAAAAAAACTTAAATAACAAAACATAGCAATGAAAGAAATATATGAAACACTGCTGAAAAGTCAGTGAAACAGGAAATTAAGAATGATATCACAGAACAAAGGGACAACAAACTGAAAGTTGGTTTTACTCTGAACCTAACCCAGCCTGACTGAGGATAATTTGTGGAAAATGTCCTGGCCAAAGGGTGATGATGAGCCAGGCATGGTGATACACACCTGGGGCTAAGGCAGGAGGGTTGCAGGACTAAAGAGACAGTGTCCTTAAAAAAAAAAAAAAAAAAAAAAAAAATCGGGGATTCATCAGGGTGGATTTTTGTTGTTTGGGGTGCTTCTGGAGACAATATCTCCTAGGTAATGCAGACTGGCCTTGAACTCCTGGTCATACTCCTTCCATGCTGGGATTATAGGTGTATGCCATCACACCCAGCAGTCTTTTGTTTTTGAGATAGGACCTCATGTCACTAAGTAGCCTAGTATGGCCTCCAACTCACAGGAATCTTCCTGGCTCAGCCTCCTCTGAGTGTTGAGTTGACAGGTGAGTTACCACGCCCTCCCCACCCCCACCCCCAGCTCACCAGAATGGACTTATATAACTTCATCACTTGGAGATCACACTGGGATTGCAGAGCATGTTGGCACATGCTTATAATCCCAACTACATGGGTACCTTTGGGTACCTTAGCAAGAGTATCACTGTGAGTTGGCGGCCAGCCTGGACTACATAGTGAAACTCTTACTTCAAAAAGGGAAAACATCTTGAAGACTAAATTTGTATTAATAGTAATGACATGCAACCACACTATTTGGCCTTTTCAGTCTGTGTGTACACACTTTAGATAACTAACCAAAGAGGGAAGGCTACGTCTTGTATTTCTTCTCACACTATAACAGCTTAGAGCTAAGATTTTTTTTTTTTAAATCTGGTACAGGAAAAAAAAAAAAAAAATCTGGTACAGGGTCTCGCTATGCACCTCAGACTCATAAAAATCCTGTTTCAGCCTCACGAGCACTGAGATTACCAGCATGTGCCGCTATGCTCAGTCTTGGTGGCCAGCTCGGCAGGCCTGGGGTGGAGCCAGCATGGCGTGTGGTACTGGGGGTTGAACCTAGGTCCTTGTGTTTGCAAGGCAGGCGCATAGACCACTGATTTATGTCCCCAGCCCCGGAGCTAAGATTTAATGAAGGTCTCAAAATTATTGGGCAAACCCAAGTCCACAGGGTGACTTGAATTGGCTCTTGATATGGCCAAGTGCTGGGGTGTGACTCAGTGGTACAGGGGTTGCTTGACAAGTTGAAGACCCTGGGTTCAGTCCCCAGCACAAACAAACAGCACAGAACCCAGACACAAAGGTTCTGAGCCATTTCAGGTGACTGATTATGTTTCTGACTACACCTTGGCACATATAACCTGGTGGCAAATGCCACTGATACCCTGGAATATTCATACAGACTGGGAGCAAGAACCCCTTGTGAGTACAGTGGTATACATGTGTAATCTCAGAGTCAGCAGGCTGAGGCAGGGGGAGAATGAGTTCGATGCCTCATATGGAGTTAAAGACCAGCCTGGACAACAAATTAAGAGGCTTTCAAAATAAAAAAATAAAAAAATAAAAA